TTCGTGTAAATGCTAGCAATTGGGTCAGAGTGGCGGTGAATCCACACCTAAAAGTACAGATTTCAGTCACTAGGCGCGACTAGCTCATAGTGCATGTAAATCGCTACAGCTGTTCGATTGCAACCCCTACATCGTCTATAACCCCCCACGGCCTTATATCCCCTCCACAACGATTCTGCTTGTGGCTTAACTACATGTGAAAGCACACAATAACCACTTACGAGGTTAAAACCACCATTCACGTCATGACTAGCTCATAGTGTATGTAGATCGCCACAATAGTAGCGACTGCAACCCCTGCACCTCATCAGCCCTTATGTATCCCCCCTTCCCCTCACAATATTCGACTTGTAGCATCCCCCAAGCCAAATTGCCTAGCACGCTCTCTATTGTTCTCAACGCTCACTCGAATATACAATTAGTACTGTCAAGGCGTTTTTGTAGGGAGTTGATAACGCAGAGGAAATTGTAAACTGATTGATTGGCGTTATCTACATCTACATGCATGACTACTGTGACTATACTATATCTAATGCTATACATACGTGCGCTCTGTAGAAGGAACTTCTGGTGTCCATGGCCGCGCACGTTCATGGCGTCAAATGTGTTCTTCTCTGGGTGCTCCGAGGTAATGTGGGAGACGAGGTTCGAGTATCCACTTCCAGTCTGAGCACGACGTACGCCACAACGACAGGTCCAGTCAGTACTTCCAGGGGCATTGCACGTGAAGAAGAGCTCGGCCAGCTGGCGCCCACGGAGGATGTTGGGGTTGGGTTGGTTCATCAAAACAGATAATGAATGTCAGCACTCAACCTTGAGTTCCAATGGCGTGTGGCCATCCAAACGTTTGAATAGCCACACGCCATTGGAACTGAAGGTAGGAGTGCCAACCAACGAATTATTCCTTTGTAATTCAATACTTTTCATTTCTGTAAGCATTGAGTATAACCTATTTTCATGCTCTTGAAATCAAGGTTATCTACTTTCTTGGCACATAGTAGAAAAATCTTTTTTTGTTAATAAATAAGTATATTCGCAAAAAAGTTATTTTTTGGGCAGCTCTGGCGCCAAGTGTCCCAAGAAGACGAATTGCTGGACGCATCTTGGGTACCTGCTGACGCTCCTAAAAACATGTCGCCGCAAAGTCATGGAGTACACCATTGCAAGCCGCCCTGCGCAAGCGCCGGCGATCATGTGGTGGGTCATCGCGTATGTGATGTCGCCAGCCGTCGACGCGATCAACATCACGTTCGTCATGTTTAAGCGCCGCTGCTAGATCAGCGAGCTGGTTGCTGGGCGGTCCACTATGTTCGCCGTCGAGACCGTTGAGCAGCTTGATGACGACGACGTGGAGTACCGGACAGTCGGGTCGATGTGCATCCCGGTTGAAGCGATCGGTGACCGGGGTTTCGGTGTTTAGGGATTAACCCCGAAACCCCGAGGACCTGGCTGGGCACATTCGCCTCGACGTGCTACAGCAATCTTGACGCAGCCGACACGACGTTCGTTGTCATCGAGATCGCGACGTATGTGATCTCGCTCATCACGGGCATGATGGTCCATCAGGTAGGGAAAATACTATTTTTTACTTATTCCAGTGGTCGAGCAATAAATTATACGTACTTGTTGTATGTGACCTGGCGGCGGGCACCGGCATCCCCAAGAGCAACCTCTCCCAGCAAACGACGAAGATCCATAGCTTCGACGGCAACAAGAAGCGATTCAATCTTGACGGCACCGGAAGACTAGAAGAACTCCCAGGCTCTGCTTCCCTTGAAGCCTACACGACGAAGCTCAGAGGTGAGGTGCGTGCAGTGACATGCACCCATCTGATCAATTTTCTCAAGTGCAACTATCGAGACTGGCTTGACCAGTACCTCGCTGCATGCGCTAGGAGCTACAAGTCGCTCTTGAAGCTTCTCCAGCGGTTCTGCGCCCGACACGGCTTCACCCGTCAGAAGCCTGCGAAGACGAAGCTGACCCAGGGCGACCTCGCTGAGTTACGACGCCAGTTCTCAAACGACTACTACAAGGTGTTCGATGGTTTTGCGCCCGACAGCATCATCAATGTTGATGAGACAGAGATGCATTACGACATGCCGCCCCATGCCATCTGGGCTGCCCGCGGCGGTTCATCCAAGATTTCAAGTGGCGACAAGCACTCCTACCGCATGACGGTGGTCCTCTCTGTGCGCGCCAAAAGAGAGAAGCTGCCAATCTTGTTTATACTGCGTGGAATTTCCGGTGGGCTTATCGAACAAGGCGAGTTCGACGATTTTCCTATTGAGCACTTTTATGCAGTTCAAGAGAAGGCGTGGATGGATGCACGCGTGTGGGCTCTTTACCTGAGGCAGCTGCTGAAGCCCCAAGTCCGAGAGCCTTCGGTTCTGTTACTCGACAACTTCGACCCTCACATCAGCAAGGAAGGCCTCAAGATCGCTAGCGAAGAATGTGGCTGCGTCGTTGCTGCTATCCCCCCGAATGCCACAAGCGTTGTTCAACCACTTGATGTCGCGATCATGGCGCCTTTTAAGCGCCACTTGCGCAATCTGTGGCTGGAGGAAGAGCTGATTGAAGGCGACGATAGTGCAACACTCAAGACACACAACGTGTTTTACCACTGCGCTATCGCGTCAACCGCTTATCTTTATACCTGTTCGATCCGTCTGGTCAACTTCAAATATTTCAGTCTTTGAAATTGTGACAAGTAAAGCGTCTGCAATCTGGTTGGTCACAATTTCTCTCGAAGTTCGAAGTTATTCAACCAATCATTTCCGATGAATTGGCAAATTCGAAGTAGCAAGTGTCCCTTAAAATCCGTCGCCCCCTGTACTCCTTCCATTACACTCTTGACGTCGTCGATACCACAAAGGAAGGCGTTGCAATGAAGGAACATTTGTTCTTCGAAGTTAGACGGCAGCATACTCTGACGGCGGTCCGTCAAAGCCCATTTCGTCACTGAAAACAGGCGCTCGCACATGTCGAGGTCGGTCGGAGGAACCGGCAGTCCATGAACCCGCTGCAAGACTGCTGCATCTTGCGCCGCTTCTTTGCACGAGACGCCATCGACATGCAATCAGCATCCGACATTCGATCGTCGTCTCGCATACCAGCAGTCACAGCGAGCCTGGCGATGGACAGTCGTTCTTGGTCGGTGAGCGACGGCGACATGTGCATAAGCACCTTCACAACCCCAGTCTCGAAGTGTTGGATGATACTTGCACCGGGGCGGAGGCGCTCGTTCGCGTTTGGGAATTCGCATAGAACCTCGTCAAACAGGCCACGGACGTCAGCCAGCGTGATGGCTTCATCTTGAAGCTTGAATGTCACTGAGTTGAGGTCGATCAACTTGGCCAGAAGGAGATCGATGTCACGATCTTGACGGACACTGAGGAGCAGATTGTCGATCTCTTCTACCCCCATCAGGGGAAGAAAGGGCGTGAGCTTGACATATCGATCCAACATGGCCACAGAGGAATTCCAACGTGTCTGGTTGCGCTGCTTGGGTCGGAGGTCGGTAAGTCGCCGGAGCTTGGCCGAAGGGATGAAGTTGGTCAGTTTCTTCATGATTGCGTTGACGGCCACGAGCAACTCTTCGTGTTCCGCCAGTACATCGCCAACGAACAAGTTGAAGCGGTGGGACACGCAGCCAATCATAGGGACACCGGCAAGGCGAGAAAAGGCACGGTTTATCGAGCAGTTGTCGCCGATCAACGCCACCACATTCTCGCCGGTCCTTGCCGTACACACCCAAAACAAAGTCAAGGTACTGAACATGAGCCGCTGCGCTCAGCGAGTCCTCTTCGTTCATTGGCGACATTGCCAAGAGGACCTTCTCGTACCCTCGATGGGAATCGTTGGGAAAGGTAGCGAACATAGCGACGTAGTGCGTCGAGCCGCTGGTCCATCCATCATAGATGATTGCAAACGACTCAGGCAGCGTCTCGGATATCTTGCTTTCCATCCAGCGACACATGGCGTGCATACATTTCATGAGCGTCTTCACGCTGATGGTCCCCATAGTGGTAAATCGCCGGGCCATGTCGTTCTCACAGAATGAAAACGGCATTAGAGACGCCGTAATCCATGTCAGCCAGCCATAGACTGCTTGCACTGGCTTGGGGGTGAGCAACGCGAATACACTTTGTTGCGTAGCTGGGTTCAAGGCGTCGTAGTGAACGAACTCGGGGTGTTCGCGTTCAATATGCGACATCAAATTGCTGTAGCCACTTCCATTTTGAGTCCGGTGTTTGCCGCACTTGCACACCCAAATGGAACTTCCTGGCGAGGTGCGTGTGAAATAGAGCACTGCAAGGGGCTCGCCGTGGAGACGGTCATGGTGCGTGGACATCAGAATTTGAATTGTGTTGATATTGAGCTGTTTATCGAGACTTTAATGACTGGTTCAGGGCTTTGCAAGGAAATGAATGGTAATGTGAATAATTTTGTGACAATGAATAATTGATTCATTTCTAGAGGCACGTCGCTAAACTTATTAGGACTTGGTCTCCAGCAAATAACTTATTCTCTCACCTAACCCAGTCAGAATAAATTATTCTATTTTTAAATAGAATAATTTAGTTATTTAAAATAACTAAATAGTTCGTGATAAAAATTACTTTTTCCCTACTCCTCTGATTTTGGAAATAAAAGGCCGAGGGCGACAGCGCAAACCTCTGCCTCTACCAAGTCTCGCCTCCCGTGCTGCCGGATCAGCTCATCAAGCTACGCACCGATGCGTTGATTTCCGACGTTTTGGAACCACGTCGCTCCCATATCATGCTGTTCTGGTCCCCAGAAGACGTCGAGCAGATCGAGGACGACGCCATCTACGACATCGACAATGTCACGAAATTCGACGAGGACTGGGATATAGTGAAATTGAAATTGAAATTACGCGGTGTTTACAAGCTCTCTATCGCCCGAGCGCGCGCATGTGCAGCAGCGCCCGCGAACTAGAACTAATCTAGCGGATGGAGCTTGTGCACGTTCACACCGGGGTGGTTCGTGCAGCGGCCTCAGTCTGTCGGGCCTTCTTTATTGTGCGGTGTGCATTGGGACGTGTTTGGTCCGTGTTGCTATAGTTGTCGGTGCCTTGCACTCCTTGTGTCCGGGGGCCGGCGCGGTGGTCTGCGTCGTCGCCTTCGTGTAGCGATTCGTTGGACTTGTGGTGCGGCGGTGCTGCCGAGAAGGTCTTGTGCCGCTGGCCAAGCCATGTGCCTATGTTAAGGGTCCGGCGGGCTTTCGCTTGGCGTAGGTTTGTGCCAATGGCGGCCGGGGTGTCATCGTGAGCCCGGCGGCGCTGTTTGATGCCGGTGTTGACCGCTTGTGCTAGTTCGGTATCGCCGTCCTGTGCGGTAGCTAGGTATTTTTCGTGGCATGTGTAGTTCCAGTACGCGTGTAGTGTAGTCCAATGGGTAGTAAACCATCAGCGATGAAAGTCTTTGTCGAGGCGTGGGGTGAGGGAGAGTGCGATGGCCCATTGTAGGGTGCTGTTAGTCATAACGTAAACGACCAGTCTTTGGTGTACGGACCAGTGTTTGGTGCATTTTCAATAGCCAATCATTTGGCTCGAAATATTGGCGGCAAAACCTGCATAAGATTATATGACTTCTTGACTGGCATCTTGAATTTGGCGCCGACATGGCACGATACAAGCGCCAAGAGCTGGACCCGGCGGTAGCTCTGGTGATTGGTGGGGCCAAGGGGACTGACGTAGCTAGGGACACACAAATCCCCTACAATACACTCATGAACAACGTCCGCGCAACCAAGGCCGGCAAGACACGCAAACGAATGGGTCCACCGACGGCGTTGCCTGACACGTGCGAGCTAGACCTCGTGGCGTGGATTGGAGCAA